AAATAGTTAAACTTGCACAATAAGGATAATTACATCCACTCTTCTGAGTTGCAGCTACGAGATAACTCTAATAAATTTGCATATCATATGATACTTTGTATTTTCGATACGTAGTGGCAGAAAAATCACTTAAAATGTCTAAAAATAACTAAATAAACTAAAATAATTAAATAAACTAAATGAACTAAAATAACGAAATGGACTGAATAAACTAAAATAATTAAACGGACTAAATAACTAAAAAGTCTAAATAAACTAAAAATAACTTAAATTCCGGTTACCATCAGAAAATATTTTTTTACGAAGCGCAGTAAGGTGTCATCCCTGAAATAATGTAGTTTTCTTCGACAATAAATCCCTTCAAAAGAAAGCTACCTGGCTAACACCACAACCGAAGCGCGACATTTACAGTGACACATTTATAAAGTTACGTCGCACCTACCTTCTTAAAAATTCACGGTAAAACGTACCGGCAGTCAGGTACTTTTTACCGTAAAATCAATTTTTACTGTAAAGTTTTATGGTACGAAAGAAATTTGATATACAGCATAGTTAACAGCAAATATTTACTTAATCACTGTAATTCAGTAAATATATTACTGAAAAATTTACGGGATAAAATTTTACAGTAAAAGGTACTGACAACTTAAGTGCCGATATTTTTCACAGTAATTTTTCAGGAATTTTTTTCAGTGCATGCGTCATATCGATAGGTCATCAATAAGAAAAAAAATATCAATGTCCACCAGTGGTTACATTACCTTGTGAAATCCCCATAACATTAATAAGACGAAACAGAAGCAAAAGTGACTTTTTAACTGTTTAAAAGTGTCTTTAAAGTGATTAAATAATTAATACTATAAGTGATTAATAAATAGTCATCGTGACTATAATGTTATATCACAGGATCAAATTATTCAGTTAATATTGAGGATCCTTTTTCACTTACTGCATGGGGTTCGTATTTGCTATCGTGCGTGAATGCGATGCGATTCGCGCATGATAGCGCATGCAGCGCTTATACCATATGATTCAAATTGGAACAGCATTAAGATAACAAACAATTTAAGTGTTTTTTATGGTTAAGTATAAGGTTTTAACGGTGTACTGTTTCTAATTATATTTCTTTCTTCGAACTATTTTATAAAAACAAAAAAAAGTATTCTGAAGCTACTTTACATTTCGCAACCTAAATTTTACAATAATCATTGAAAAAAGTATTTTTTTCGGTTCAAGTGTTTTGTTGTTGATAATACAGACTATAATAGTTTTCATATAAAAAATAGTGCGTGGAGTCCCTCCGCGCGGAAGAAGTGAAACTTCGTAATGCGGAAATGAAAATGGGAAGGGGTAGAAATTGATTTTTAGAGAAATCATATTGTTTCTTTAAGACAAACTTTATTAACATTGCTTACAATTCGCAATTGATCGCATTTTTTAATTATCATTTTCGAGTGGAGAAATATCCAAATCTATAACATTTACAATGGGATTATGATAACTAAAGTAAGATACGAAATGTTTGAGTTCTATTTTTTCAATATTTCTTGCAAAAACTGCATCAATGGTAGTTCCCCCTTTGGTTGTTGGATCATTCCTACCATTTATCATTTCCAATCTAAATTTGTCATTAAAGAAGGTTAATAATGTTTCAGCTGCAGGTAACGATAAATTCACATTAAAATCTCCTGCAAGGATCACAGGCCGCTCACAATAATCAATTTCTTCACCAGTAACGTCTGTCAGAGCTTGTGAACCTGCAGTGGATAGTGATAAAGATTTTGCAATAAATAATCTAATGTCCCTCATGGCTACATTTGGTGAAATATAAATGGCACTTAGAAAAGAGAAAACCTAACAATCAATTGATATTCACAAGAGACGTACCTTGACATAACCTTAAATCCGTCGCATTGTCCGTGGGATTGTTTTCACTCATTTTTTACAATTGTTATCCACTAAATTTGAAAATAAAAAATACTACCCTATTAAATTATATGTGTATCAAAACAAACTAAAAAAATATTTATAGAAAAACAATTCGCGATCGCAACGCTCGAGTACGCCGTCTAGCGGGAGCCTGTAAATATCGGACATTAATTTATCACGTTTTCATTTAGTTCCATCAAAGTCATTGACTGAATCAGACGCCATTTTTTAGCAGCAAATAAGAAACAAAATTTCCCTAAGGAAAAGGCCGAAGAACTTGAAAAAAATCTCCAGAATATTAGTAAATCTTTCAGGAACAGAACACGCCAAACATTTGAAGAAAAATTCCTCAATAATTTTTAATTTCTATTATCAACAAACTTGCAACTGATGACTTCCGATTTCGGATACTGTTACAGATGTGTGTATTAAGGTAAAATGCATTTCTTCTGTCTTCAATTCATTACGAATTAAAGTGAAGTCAACATTGCTTTCGTCATTCCAGTGAATAAATATGAATTCAGAACATACAGAATTGTAATAGTTATAGCATATTCTTCTTCGTTATAGAATAGTATATATTTCTGTATCCATATAATTCGGAAAACAACAATAAAAAATTATCCAAGTTACTTGAAATAGTGCCATTTGTGCTGATTCTTAATTAATTTAAATCGTTTTCTTGGTAAGTTTTTTTTAATTTTGAAAGAATAAGTTCAACTAGAATTCAGCTATTCTGTTTTTAGCTACATATTCAAATTCATATCAATTATAAAATTTTGCTGTGTAGTATGTTATCTAAAAGTAATGAAGGTATAAACTATGTATCTATTATTTGAGAATAAAGTTTTCAAACAAGGAACTTATCATTTTGGAATTCTCCGGGAATCATAAATCAGGTAAGTGCAATGATTTTTACAATAAAAAATTTGCTTGTAAATATTTTTTTTTCATTTGATGATGGTTCTCTACAGAATGGTTTTTTACGTCTGATTAAGAACTATAAGAATAATAAAAAAAGAAACAATATGAAAGTTTTTATTTCAATGTAAAGAATTCTTAAAATCTTTTTTTTATCCTAAGAATTCTTTATTTTCCGTTTTTTAGTTTATAATTTTTTGATAAAAATTGTTCTCAAAATACTTTTTTTGAAAAATTAAATGGTATAACATTATGTGTTTATGTATACTTCTTGTATATTCCAATGTTTGAAGTAATATGATTCAGAAAAGTATGGAATAAAAATTCGGTACTTACGTATTAACGCCACCGCCGCTACAGATTTGGCGGTTTTTAAGTGCCGCCAATCTACACTTAAAATTTTTGCGACAATTCATAAAATAAAACACTTTATTTAAAATCAAAATAGTCAATCGGATTTCGGTGGAAAATGAGCCGATATAGAGTTTAGCATAGATTCAAAACAATCATATCGCCATATGAACTCTGATAAATAAGATTCCAAATGAAATAACATTTCCAAAACGTACGTTTACCAAGATAAAGTTTTATGTTGTGGGAATTGGTACATTTTCGTTTTTTCGGTAAAATATTTCCCTCCTGAAAAAATAAAATTGCATCTTGTTTTGTTTTTGGCAAATCCCAAAGACGAATTTTCGTAGCACTAAAAATGGCGACAAAAAAGAATTGTTTTTTTGTTTTTGTTTCGTCAGCATTCTTTATTTTACGTTTCTTAGTTTCTAAATAATGATTTTTATTGAAACTTGAAATTTTTTGATAAAAATTGTTGTCAAAAAACTTTGTTTACAAAATTAAATTTCATAAAATTATGAGGCTTATGTATACTTTTTGTTCATTTTAATTTTTGAAGTAATATGATTCTTAAAACTATAGAATGTAAAGTTTAAATGGGCCTTTCATGTTATATCATTAAATTTAGTAATACTATTTCTCGGGCATTAGGTTTTAACTCTTATAAGAATATACATATTTTTTTCTGTTAATGTACAAATATTTTTCCGATGTGTTTTGGATATTCCTTCTCTAATAAAAAGAGATACCATTTTGTTTTCGTTTGCATAAGAAAGAATATCAAGCATTTTTTTTTTTAAATTTAATTAGCCACAATAAAGAAGGAACGTTCCAATGCTACGTGCTACATTAACGACATCTCTAGAGTAACTGAATGACTGTTTATATAGAAATCGCAGGTATTAGTCTCATACAACAACGCCCCCTATAGTTCGTTGCGATCGCGAATACTTTTAATGACTTTTATTATTTTTATGCTAGTGAGAACCAAAACAATATGGAAATGAATGAGGGAAAACTGGATCCTACCACGTGATTTCCCGGCCAATAAAAATGTAGCGTTAAATGTTTAACGCAACCTTGTTGGAAGTCGCATAAGAAGTATCACTTCAAAAACCCTTTGCGTTAATTGATGGCGTTGCGTAGTAACAATAATATCCTCATCTCAGAGAAAGAAAAAAAAACAACTTAGCGTTATGTGATGGCTTACCGTAGTAGCGATAATTTTCATCTAAGCAAATGAAAACTATGCGTTATCTGTGTAGTGCCGTAGTAGCGGTCATTTTCATCTAAAGAAATTAAAAATAGGTGTTATATCTGTAGTACCGATAATTTTCATCTAAAAAACTTAAAACTAAGTGTTACATGTGTAGTACCGTAGTAGCTATAATTTTCATCCAAAAAAAGGGAAACTAGGTGCTATATGTGTAATGCCGTTGTAGCGATAATTTTCATCTAAAAAATGAAAAGTAGGTGTTACATGTGTAGTCCTCGTAGTAACGATAATTTTCATCTAAAAAATACAATACAGAAGAAGAAAACTTTGCGTTAATTGATAGTGTAGCTAGTGCTGAATGCGACCCAAATAGATACCTAAGTATAAAGTTAACAGCTATATTTTAAAATTTTGCTGAATCAGTTTAAATTATTCGTAAAAATGCGTAAATAATTCATAAATGATGAATAGTATTGTTTTTAAAAATGTGCGTACTACTGACGTGACAGAGCAAATTCAAACTCTTATAGAAAGTCATCATCTTTTATCATTCAAAATATTATCTTCTAAAAATCTTTGCACGTTTAAAATTGACAAATAGAGATTGAGTAGATATTAAAACTTCTAAAGAATGAAGACGCATTTAGGAGAGAATTCAATGAATGTAAAAGAATTATCTAATTTACTCTCTTACTTAAAAAGCAAGGGTAAGTGTAAAGCAAAATTTTTCCTCTTCTATTAATTTCAATATCGTATAAAACAATTTTTTGCAACTTCAGATATCTTTTGCTTAATTTTGTTATTGATTAATGAGTATATTGATTAATTAAATTGTTCAGTGAGTAAAATGTATGTAGTTATATTACAAAAGTGCATAAAAAATGATGTCGCGTTTAGACAGCAAAATCATATAAAAATAATATCAATATTGATTATTGGAAATTAATTGGTTTAGAATCACAAAAAAATGATTGATAAGTCCTAAAATGGGTTGCAAGTACAGATATCATGTCAAAAAAAATTCGATGCATTGAAAATACAATTTTTTAGGCATATTTATCCATTCAGAATGCTTGAAAATACAATTTTTCAGGCATAGTTATCCATTCAGAATGCTTGAAAATACAATTTTTTAGGCATATTTATTCATTCAGAATGCTTGAAAATACAATTTTTCAGGCATAGTTATCCATTCAGAATGCTTGAAAATACAATTTTTTAGGCATATTTATCCATTCAGAATGCAAGTTAGAAAAAGAAATTCTTACATATCTTTCTTAAGACGTAAAAATTATCTTAATATATTACAAGCATAACTAATAAAATGACCAAGTTAGGCATAATCATAATGAAATTTGTATTTACAGCAATTTATCTTTACCTCAGTTTACTTTCTAAAGAATAAATTAAAAATTTAAAAAGAAATAAGACTATTGAATACAGTTGTTTTCTTTGCTGTAAATCCTTTAACAAATTAAAAGGCAATAAATCTGTCTTCATTATGCATTGCTTAAACTTTGAAAAAAAAAAGTGTGTGAATTAATTACGCCCAACAAAGGTGAAATATTTTTTTGTTTGTTTTTCTTACCCTGTTATTTATATCCATTTCTGTCTGTACTTTTAGTAACGTTAAAATAAAAATTAGTTACTGTGTTGTTTATTACAAACGTTTAAGCATTTCAGTCAAAAAAATATTAGTTCCGGTAACTGCATTGGCACAAGTCTCATCAGGTTATTGTTATTTTTTTAATCTTTGTAATGTGTAATTCAAATGAAGTTTTTCTCATTATCAAGTGTATCAATAATTTTTTTTTATTTTTAAAGTTTCTTTCCGTTTTCTAACAGCAAAACTTTGAGCGAAAAACGAATCCTTCATCCACTTAAAAGTTGTTCTACTTAAAGCTCCACAATTATTATTGTAACTCTTTGACCAACGATGGATCATTTATTCAAGTGTAACTGTCATTCATAAAAATTTGATGGATTAACTGAAATTAATATGGATTAATTGATATTAATTCCCCAAAAACGTAGAAAAATTTCAAGAAGGTATTTGTTTTCATAGCATGGAAGTTTTGAAAACGTATTTACGGTGAGTCAACTTTCTCTCTTATACAATTTCCAAAAAAGAAAAAAAAAACATATTTGTCATTAGATCATACTTCATGAGATTTTTCTTACCGCAAAATGTTTAAAAACTGTTATAAAAGAGTGTATTTGTCATTTGATTATCTTCTAGTAGGACGGTCTTATTCTTTAGCATACGACAACTATTGAAAAATCAGAGATTTATGTGACTTCTGTTGTTAATCAATTTAGGGAACACTTTAAAAAAATATGTGCCATTTTATCATTTTTGCATGTCTGTCTTCATTATGCATTGCTTAAATAATATTTAAATTATATATTTTCCATTTGATTATGGCTAAAATAGCTCGTTTTTAATTCAAAATTCGAAAACAAATTAAAAAAGCTAACACACTTGCCATTTGATCGTTTTTCATATAACTGTTCTTATTTAGCAATATTTAAATAATCATTAAATAATGTATTTGACATTTGATTATCTCTTAAATGCTTCTTTTTGTTATTCAAAAATTTGAAAACTACTAAAAAGTTAACATATTTGTCATTTGGTCGTTTTTCATACGACTGTTCTCATTATGGAATATTAAAATAACCCTTAAATAATGTATTTGACATTAGATTACTTCTTGATAATTATTTCTTAAATGGCTATTTTCGGTCTTCAAAATTTAAAAACTACTAAAGAGTTAACATATTTGCTCTTTTATCTTTTTTCATACGACTGATCTCATTTTGCAACATTTAAGCAATCCCTAAATAATGATTTGACATTTGATTATCTCTTAAATGACTCTCGTTATTCCAAGTTAGAAAACTACAAAAATTTAACATAATCGTTAGTTCTATAATTCACAAAGCGATCATAGTTAACATTTGATCTTTTTTCATATGACTGTTGTTGTTGTTGACGAATACCTGCTTAGGCGGAGGGGGTGCGAATGCTCTTGTTTTCCAGTGGCGCCATCTATGACCAAGAATTGTATGACTGTTCTTATTTTACAATATTTAAATAACCATTAAACAAATAAACAATATTAATTTTCTAAATAACTATTTTTAAATTACCACGTACTTGACATTTGATTACCTCTTAAATGGTTCTTTTTGTTATTCAGAATTTGAAAACTACCGAAAAGTTGTATATTTGCCATTTGATTGTTTTTCATATGACTGTTCTCATTTTCTAATGTTTAAAAAACCAGCAAATAATACATTTCCCACTTGATTATCTCTTAAATTTTTCCTTTTATTATTCAAATTTCAGAAACCAGTAAACGAATTCTTTTTGTTATTCAAAATTCGAAAACTACCAAAAAGTTAACATACTTGCCATTTGATTGTTTTTCATATGACTGTTCTCATTTTCTAATGTTTAAAAAACCAGCAAATAATACATTTCCCACTTGATTATCTCTTAAATTTTTCCTTTTATTATTCAAATTTCAGAAACCATTAAACGAATTCTTTTTGTTATTCAAAATTTGAAAACTACCAAAAAGTTAACATACTTGCCATTTGATTGCTTTTCATATGACTGTTCTCATTTTGTATTGTTTGAAAAAACAGCAAATAAAATATTTCCCCATTTGATTATCTCTTAAATTTTTCCTCTTATTATTCAAATTTCAGAAACTATTAAAAATTTACATATTTGCCATTTGATCGTATTCTGTATAACTGCTATATGCAACACTGAAAGACTTAAAATCTAAACATACTTTCTTAATTCTTTTTTTCCAGATGCGTTTTATTACCATCATTTTAGCCTTGGTAATATTTTGTACTTTGCTTTCTCTGCACGCGGAAGCTGCCAACAGTGAAACAGGTTTAATTCGCCTCAAAAGAGAATCAGCATGGCTTGCAGTGGGACGAACTATGCAAGATCTATTGCAGATATTTTTGACGTTACTTGTGTACATACCACTGACACTTCTTTTTAATTTCGTTGAGAGACGATTTGATCCCGTTGGAATTTTTGCTTTATGAAATAATCATAAATCCATTATAATGTGACTTCGAAATGTAAGTTCTATTTATTCTTGTAATATTTTTGAAATGCCATTCTAAAGTTAAAAGAAAACGGGAGGGGTGACAATGTAAACTTTAATAACAATTATGATTGTGTTTATTGTAATTAGAGAACAAATAATTTCCTTGTAATTTTTACCTTTTCAGCCTAGAGAAAAACGGATAAAAGTGGCCTGATAATTGATTTATATATTTTTTGTGAGAGCCGACCAGGTGGCCGAGTGGTTAGCATGTCTGACTGCGGAGCCATTGGTCGCGGGTTCGAATCCTGCTCAGGACATGGATGTATCTTTTTCTCTCTGTGTTCTATGTCCTTTCCTCTTTGTGTGAATGTGACCCGCCCTATAATCGGGTTTGTGGTTGTGTGACGTGGCCTGCGCTGCTCTGCCGCTGTGGCTTCG